ACCATTTTATTTCAAGAATGACTTGCAAGAGGGAAAGAGAGGATTAACATAGTCATGTGAACAAGCACCAGATGGAAAGATGGTGTTGAATCTTTCCCTATTTAGATCCATGGAACATATGCACAAATTTTTTCTTTTTTGTTTTTATTTCGCTACAACACAGCTGAAGAATGTATGATTCACAACTATACATCCATAGCCAGCTTCCAGTTTCGAACCTGAATTATTACAAGGCGGTTTTCTTGAAAGGATTTTGATGCCAAGACAGCGGGAACAAAAAACTATACTGTCGTTTACAACACCCAAAAATGTGTCTTCGGGAGAAATAGGAAATACGCAACATAATTCAAGTAGCCCACACTGTTTCCTTACCTTTGGAAGACTATCGATGTCATGGCAAGATCAAATTGTAAGAGGCTTTCTGCCATCTTGGTCTCATCTACCAGTTGCCTTTTCAAATAGGTTGGTCTGATGATATTGTGTCACTATCCCTCGGTATGCTGCTTGCAACCCTTGGGTCCATAGTGTTGGGAGCTGCGCCTCACAATTTTTTTGCACAAGTAACAATAGTGCGTTTGGCATGCCCAGCAGAAAATGTGATTGTTGTTGTCTACCTGTTAAAGTACAATAAATGGTAAAAACATAGAACACAGTTACTATGTTGAGCGAACTCAAACAATCTAGAACAACAAAACAATGCCAAAAAGACTCCACATTGCCTATCGAAGGAATTTTTGTTATGTTTTCAACTACAAACTATATATGGATGACTTTAATAGATGGACAACATATCCAAAGGAAAGCCCGGACTGCTGGACATGGCTAGTGTAAAAGTATCATTCTTTTGAAATTGTTAGTTTAGATCAGGATGAATGCTAACAAGGCATTTAGACTTCATTGGCATGTAGCTAGTTTCAACTAGAAAATTAGAAGATAAAAAGATTACATAGGTGGAGGAAAATTCCAACAAATCAAATAAATTTTATCACCTTTGCATTGAACTGACGACAGTTAGGGCATGGCTGTCCACGTTCAGCAAAGAGTTGAGCGTGAACCTGACCTAATACCTGGCGTGCATTTAACCTTTCCTCCCAGTCTCGTATCATTTCTTGGGGGAACAATTCACATGTCCCATCCCTTCAACAAGCAAAAATGCGGAACCTCAACAACTAAGTACTGACCAATGAACATTCAAGTTGACACAAGCAATGATGAAGACTTCATCTAGAAATTCTGGAAGTTGCATACCTGAAATGATCATATCCATTAATGGCTTTGTTACATCGGTAGCAGAAGTACTGCCCACAGTTCTCACATACCATCTTGTTACATCCCTCAGTTTTTGAGATTGCCATCTTACAAGATGGACATTGCTTGGCATCACGCATTATTTCCTTCATGCTAAGGATTTCATTGATCATCTCACGTTCCTTGAGCTTCTGCGCTTGATTCAATTGGGATGAATTTTGGCGCTCCTGTCAGCAACATTAATTCCATGAATGATGGAGAAAAGTTTCTATGATAGAGGAAGTAGACGCCCATAGGACAAGGAAAATGCTAAAAATATATGCAAGCAGTGAAGAAAAAGGAGCACAGCAAAGAAGAGGACTTTGACAAACATTGATCCAATGTTGTCCATGAAATTCAAGTTAAAGCTATACAAGAACCATCCCATGAACCTTTAAAGCCTTTAGCACATTCAAGATCACATCATGTTTGAATAATGCTTTGTACGGTTATTTCCAGTTTCTACAATTTACCAAGAAAATATCAAAGGAATTCTGACTAAAATCTACTTTAAAGATATGATACACCTGTCCCACTAGACATAAAGAAAAAAGATCCACAAAGAAATGACATAAATAATACCTGCAAGATACGAAGCTTCAGTTCTGGTGTCATACATGCTATGCCTACATGACGGCGCTCCCTACAAAGCGTACAAAAGCTAAAGAAGCACTTGGAGCATTGTGCATGTTGGTCTTCATCCTCTATGCAAGGTGTTTCACATCTTGGGCAACATGCAACATCTGACATTGATTCAAGTGTTTTCTGTAGCATAAGGGACTCCCAACGTTCATACGCTTCATCACTGAGTAACCGTTTCAATAAACCAGGAGGCACCATGCCCCCACATTTAGCTTCAGGGCATAGCAGCTTGCTTATGGTGCCTTTGGTGATATGCATGTCAGAATATGTTTTGATGCATTTGCAGCAGAAGAAATGCTGGCATGGCAGCCTAATAAAGTCAGTTCCTAGTTAAAGAAAAAAAACCAGTAGCAAGGGTTCAACAACGATCACAATAGAGTGCACAACACTATCTTCTGAATCCAAACTAAAAATACATAGAACATACTCTTAATAGCTATCCACATTAAAATCCTTTCCCCAAAAAATCCAAAGTTTCCTGAGTAATAAAGCATCATCCTAAACCCTTTAAGAAAATTTCTCCACCCCTATTCTGAATAATATTTTATCTGTACTTAATTGCCAAAGTAAATTCCTACCATCCTCAAACAAAAAATAAGAAAAATTCAGAGCCCCAGCCAACCAGCCAAAAGTGAAATTAGAGATGTTAACAAATCTATTCTAGATCTAAGGAAATTTTCACCAAATGCTGCAAAGAAGTTATCAAACAGCAATTAAATCCTGTCTTTCATTCACTCATAAAAGGGAAAGAAAATTTTCATATATAAGCTTCGAGATAGTACTACTATTCAAAGAACCAGTAGAAGATACATAGATTTTACCCCACAATCCTCTCCAATAAAAAAAATGTCTCACAACTACAACTCTTAATTTAATTCAAACCCAAGGAAACCAGGGTAATAGTGCATGTTTCCCCAGTATGGTTAATGCAAGTTCTCCAACTTATTATAGCGGAAAAACCATTAACTGAAAACAATATTACTGATGCTTAGAATCCAGAATGATTATCAACCATAGCATTCAAATCAAGTTATCTAAAATGAGAGACACCTAAAATCACCACATTCATGATTAATGCCTTAGATTCTTTTAGATTCATGTCTATCATTCCCTGCATTCTTCTGCTTCACTGGTCAAGCAAAACAGCCAAAAGACTGCAGAAAAAGGCAATGCTCAAGATAGCAAACAATAGCAAAAACGTTTACAATTAAACAAAAAATAATTAATCAACCTATGATTACCTGCATACTCACTAAAACAGATTGAACATTCATGCAAGCTTTTGAGGAACTTTTCATGGCATATCTCATCATTGTAACTCCGAACAAACGGTACATCAACAACAGGGGAGACACTTCCTGAAATTGCACGCCTCTCTCCAGTATTCTCGATGCCATAAGGACCAAGCATTATTTCTTTATCACATCCAAGATAAGAGAGCGAGAAATTTTGCAGCCAATCTGCCCATTGGTATATAACTTCCCGTCCTTCTTGCTCCTTCCATATTAAGTCGAGATGACTGCAAAGATCAGAAATCCTAGCTGAATGCAACCACTGAACAGATATGGTAAAATAAGGAGGAAGATGGCTGGGGTATGATCTAGGTAGTAAACAGGTCAACACAATTGGTGGAAGATATTGGACTTTGAACGAGTATGAGAAGTCATCTGAAGTCTCACTTTCACCAACATCATTAGATGAATTTAGCTTTGTCGTTATAATAGTCTCTCCACTGCCTTCAAGGTGAATGTGAATCTGTAAAATAACACAAAGGTATCAGCCTACTCAATTGGTTTTAGCTAGCGAAAGAAAACCTGAAATTATAGGCCAGTAACATAACCTTCAAGGATCGTAAGCCCATCTCTCTATCAAGGATGAAGACATTTTCTCCGTAAATAGACTTCATTGCAAGTAACTACAAGAAAAAGAAGGATCAAATACGGCAATGGCGGAAAAGGAACTCATTGTAATGGTCAGCAGTTTAAAAATAAAACGCTTTCCTTTGTGATTTCAACCCCATGGTTTTTAAAAAGCTAAGCTAAGTTCAAAATCTTCCTTCGTCTATTGAATAAAACAAGTGCAAAACCTTAATGAAGGATAAATAATTGGTCAGAATGAAAGTCTTAATAATCAAAATAGACATCGAAATTCGTTTGAATTACCTCGTCCTCCTGCAACTGATCATTGATTCTCAGCCGTTCCTCCGACAATTCGGGTTCGTCCACCCTTAACCGCAGCTCCTCAAACCTACTCACAACACCATCCGCACTGTTTTGTGATTCATCTCCTTCAATTTCCTCTCCATCCCCGTCAATCTTGGACTCCAAAGCCTCGCTTCCTTTATTTTCTTCTTCGTCGCAGTTTACTTCTTCGACTACACTCAAACTCGCTTTATTGTCCTCAGAACTCAGCTCAGATTTTGAAGAAATAAGCTCGGACTTTTTGACGAACCGAGGTTTGGCCACGTGGCCACGCCGGTATTTCCAGTTGGGATTACGATGAGTTCTGGACGGTTTGGGGGTAAAATCGAGGGACTGTAGTTGATGAGAAATGGACGGGGATGAAGGAAAATTAAGATTCGGCTCCTCTTGTTGATGATGGGGATCTTGTTGTGGCGGTTGAGGAGTGTCATGAAAGGGCTTGACGGACCAGGTCTCCTCGGCCTGTAGAGGTTGGTGGTGGTGATGGCCTTGCCTTGATCCTCCTCTCGTTCTTCTCATGGCGGAGGCTGAAGTTGCAACGGAGCTCAGCGCTGGCGGTAATTTCCTGAAACCGTGACGGGATTATATAGGGCTTTGAATTCAAGACTCCGGGTCAATCCAAGGCCTGTTTGGACGCTTACCTGGCCGACTTCGGTTTCATCCGAATACAATCCGGGTTTTCTTATTGGTCTGTTTCGGCCCAAGTTTATCCAAAACAAAAGCACAAGCCATCCCTCGCCATATATTTTGGGCCGTTAGAAGCCCAACATTTTGGGGCCAAAAACCCACACACACTAACCGACAGGCGTTGAAAATGATTGACTAATAGCGGCTTTGTTTCGACGCTTGGGCTGGGCTGCGTGCTCGATCCCTCATCCCTGCATTGCATCATTTAGACTTAATGCTGGCGGCGACGGTGCCTCTCTGGTTCGCCGCACCAACACGAAACATTTCCTGTTTATCTTTCATTTTTAATCAATTTTACCGTTTCTTTCTCCCGTCTCCGCCGCCTCTCTTGAAGAAGAAAGCTCCGTCGCTGGCCAGCTTCATTGCCGTGAGTTTTCTGCTTTCCTATGTCTCATCCTTATGCTTTAATTCCAGTAAGTCAGGGACTAATAGCTTTTTTTTAAAAAAAAAACAAGTAAACGGCTATCTCAGTGATTAGCTTTTAGTAATTTTTAAACTGATTTTGGTTATTTTTAGTTCGATTTCTACTTCTTTCAAGAATCAGACGTGGTTAAATAGTGAAGTAGAATGCTTTGAAAAGCTTGTTTCTACATGCTATTCATACAAGTTCAAGGTTTTGCTATTTTCTTGCTGAAAAGAAGTGAAAGTTTTTAAACGTAATGTTTCTTAATTTTGTTAATTAGTATGTTAATATGTTTTAACTGTAAATTCCAGTTAATCAAATGTTGTTTAAATGTTCCTTTAGGGATAAATATATTGCAACTCCTTGAACTATAGCTGAATCTTGTTCAAGTCCTTGGACCTTCATTTTTACGTTGTTATCTTTTGATAATTAAGCGAATATTAGATCATATAGTGAAAAATTGAAAGATTTCCTCAATTGCTATTGGATCATTTCCTCACAAATTTAGTTTTATTGGCTTGAAGTTTCTGTTTATTCTATAAAATTTGAAAGGAGTTAAAAAATTTAAACTTTAACGGTTAAGTGAAATGGGTAAATTATTTTAAGAATTATGGGTGTATTTATAGTAATCATCCTCTAGCTAGTCCTAACTTGTCTCACAGGCTCTTGAATGAGCTATTTGATTTGGTTCAGAGGCTCTAGGATCAACTGTGGAGATGCCTTCAAAGTCAAAGAAGCAATCCAAGGCGCCTTCCAGGCAATCAAATTCTGACCCATCAGCTTCTCCCCGGACACCATCTGTTTCTTCTCTAGATTCAGAAGTAAGTGAAGAAGTTCTTAGGTGCTCTCTTCAAGAAGTTTCTAGGCGATATCCTTCTCTTATTGGAAAATCTGCTTTCATTGGCCGAGTTAATGATGTTGACTTAGAAACCAGAGGCTGTAAAATTTGGTTGTCAGAAAGTTCTATGGTTGCTTCTTACCTTGCTCCTGGTTCATTAGTATCGGTAATTTACTATCTTTATTTCTAGTACGTGATATGAAATTATTAGTAGGTTTTCGAAAATTGAACCTCCCCATCCGCCACTCTTCTGCTGCTGACTTATATTCTAACCCCTTGACTAGGTCTCGCTTGTGGCTTTGAAGAATGAACATTCAAATGGCTTTCCTCTAAGCTTGGTAACAGATGAATGTGCTAAAACCTGTGTTGTTGATTTGGGCAATGAAACTGCAAAAGAAGTTGGAAACTACTTTGCGCTTACTACAGTTTTTCCATCTTGTAAGGTTTGAATGAAAATCTTATTTTAGTTTAACTCTTTATTTTCTTCTTCTCCTTTTTGCTTGTGAAAATTGAAAAGAAAAAAGATCAGCTTGACAAACTATACTGTGAAGTTGGAGAAAGTGGATGCTTCCTATACTGTTATACCAGCTATAGATGCTTTACAATTATGCAAGGTGGTTACTTCTGAATGGAGATGGTAACTAATTATGAAGTTCATTTAGTACATTGTATTTCTTGAAGGTGAATTTGGGGCTGCATAATTACAGCCAGATATAGTTGCTCTAGCTTGGAATATTTCTTAGGGTGAATTGATGGAATCTCATATAGTTTGGTGCCATTGTAGAATTTTTTAGCATAACCTCATAAATCATTGTTTTATTTATTGTGCTATAATTTGTAAATTATGGACTTGAATCTATGCCTTAACTTACATGTTCTTAATTTTGGAGATTCTGGTGGTGGTAACGTGGAAGTTTGATTCTCTATCTTCACCCTCTTCCTCTCTTTCCAGGTTTTGAAGAATGGAGTGCGATTGTCTTCAAACCTTTCATACACACTGGGTTCTCCTGCTTCTGGCAGCACTGTGTTTGTTTATCCTATACAAAGTGAATTTAAAACTGGTCTTGCAAGTGGGAGAGAAAATGCACATAATCCAAATGCTAATTACCTCTCACTGCATAGCTGCAAGCAATTGCATCTTGAGCTGACTTCTTTTAAGGACACAGTAAACACAAGCAATGATATGTTTCCTAGAATGGAGTTTCCTACAGAAAAAACTCATGGTCGATATGAGAATGGAATAACATCTTCCCCTAAGACACCATTATATCAGCCAAAGCTGAGTTCTCCTCATTCTAGTCAGTTAGCTTCACCATTAAGTGAAGGGTCAGCATCAAATTTCTCAAAACCAAATGGTTTATATGTTGATTCATTTGATGTTAAAGAGATATTAAGGGATGAAAGTTCTAAGAAGCTTCTAGAGACCTGTGCTGCTTCATGGTTGTATTCGCGTAATCTACTCTGTGGAAATATTGTGGCCATTCCAATACTTTCTGAGCTTTGCATTTTCCGTGTGAGAGGTGCTGGTATCACTAATCAAGATTTGAAGAATGGAAGTCATCATAGTTTGCCCACACAGAATCTTGAATCTATGGAGCATGTAGATAATGCTTTTGTTGTAGACCATGAGACTAAAGTGTACTTATGTTTATCATCAGATTTGTCATCTGAAACTCTTGCTGAAAGACCTTCACCGTGTCTGCAACTTGACCTTGAAGAAGTGGAAACCATTATAGAGCATGATATTTCAGAATTGGGTGGCTTGTCTAAAGAATATGCTGTATTGAAGGAAATTATTTCCTCATCTGTGAAGAATGATTTGTCAAGGTATATCATATGAATTTGCTGTTACTTGTTATTTTCTCGATCCTACATAATTTGAAATATATATATGTATATATTTATAGAAAATATTTAGAAAGAAGATTCTAGAGTTTTTGAGGACTGTGAGATGCATTTGTCCTATGGCTTCAACAATCAAAAGGAGCAAAACATCTTTTTAAATGCCTTAATGAACATGGAAAAGTTATCTTTTTTTATTATTTTTTTAATTGAATTGGCATTTTGTTATTTTGTTAGCAATACTGTGTACTTGTTGCTGTTTTCTCAGATGTTGGAATTCACTGATGCATTCATTCACAGATACTTGTCTTTATCTTTTTATCCTTTCCCTCTCTTTTGTTTGACATAGTAAAAGTTAAATGTTGATTGCTGATGTAGTTTTGGTTTACAAACTACGAAGGGAGTGCTTCTTCATGGCCCACCTGGAACGGGAAAGACTTCTTTGGCTCGGTTATGTGTCCGTGATGCTGGTGTCAACCTTTTCTATGTAAATGGGCCTGAGATTGTTAGTGAATATTATGGAGAAAGTGAGCAAGAATTGCTCAAAGTTTTTGAGTCAGCTACACAGGCTGCACCTTCTGTGGTTAGATTTTATCTCTCAAAGTCCTTGTTACTTTTGCATACTTTCTTGCTCTGCATGTCTTACCACTTGGTGATTTAGTTGTTGAGACACCATAAAAACAATGAGTGAAAAATTCTTGGATGCGACATGTAATAGCTAAATGTTAACATGTCAATTTTAACCTTCAATGTTATCTTTTGAAGAAAAAATATTGGAAGGTTATGTTGTCTGGGGACTCATTTCATACTTTCCTGTGCCTCTTGCTTTAGATGCTACCTAACCTACAGTTCCTCTGTATAGGTATTCATTGACGAGTTGGATGCCATTGCTCCTGCACGAAAAGAAGGAGGTGAACAGCTATCTCAAAGAATGGTTGCTACTTTGTTGAATCTGATGGATGGGATCAGTAGAACTGAGGGAGTGCTTGTGATTGCTGCTACCAACAGACCTGATAGCATCGAGCCTGCACTTAGACGGCCTGGAAGACTTGGCAGGGAACTTGAGATTGGTAGGATAATGCTTTTCTTTTTTGTGATATTAAATTTCATTGCCTTGAAAATCTTTTTGTTTTTCAAATGATAACTCTTTTTCCTATATTCACATGATAAATTAAACACACTCCATTTTATGCACTATATATAGTTTATGATGGTATCACATACTGGTTCTGTTCAAGGGTAAAATCTGATTCAGTTATAACTTAATTTAGACTGAAGATGCAGTATTTCTTGTATTTATTGGCTCAAAGGTTGCATAAATGGAAGAAATGAGGGTAATATTTGAGTTTAGAGATTTCTCTTAGTAGGGTTAGGACTACTATACTATCTAAGAAATAAACAAATATCATAAATGTTCAAGTCTGTAAACTCAAAGTGCATTTTACTCCAGTCAAGGAAGCCTGTGAAACCATGAATGAACTTAGGACTATAGGTTTGTGTTATTTCTTTTGTTGCTCACCCAATCAATTCCAAATTACAGATGTTCTTCCCTTTTGTCTGATATGCTATCTGCTTTTATTGATATTGAAAATTCACACGCAGGCGTGCCATCTCCAAAGCAACGACTGGATATACTACATACCCTTCTCAGTAAAATGGACCACTGTATTTCAGATATGCAAGTTCAGCAACTTGCTATGGCTACACATGGCTTTGTGGGTGCTGATCTAGCATTCCTTTGTAAGGAGGCAGCCCTAGTTTGTCTTAGACGTTATGCAAAATTTAAAGTTTCTTGTCCAGGTTTGGATTCTTGTGGAATGCCAATTACGTACCATAAAATGGAAGGAATGGAATGTGGAAGTGATTTAAGAGACATTTTGATTAGTTGTTCAGACTCTGCATCTTCTTGCAAAACAGATTTGCCTGATTCTGCTGAGACAGCCTCACAAATAACAGCTAGTATCCAGACTGGTATTAGTGATATTTCTGAAGGGATGTCTTTAGTGAAAGAAAAATGCCTGCTAAGATTGGCTTTTGAAGATTTTGAAAAAGCCAGGATGAAAGTGAGACCTAGTGCCATGCGTGAGGTATGGCTAAGATATCATTGTTGTTTGGAAAAGTCTTTTCTTGTCATTTTTTTTATGCAACCGATGTCTACTATTGCAATGAAAATACCGAACAACCACAGCTGCTGTTTGCACAACATTTTATGCTTCCAACATGATTTTAGAATATTTTTAACTAAAAAAGATCAAAGCTGCAATTTTTAGAGTTGCAAGTTGATTACATTTAAGATGTACTCAACTGTTTTTTCTCTACTTATAGGTCATACTTGAGGTTCCAAAAGTTAATTGGGAAGATGTTGGCGGTCAAAGGGAGGTCAAAAATCAGTTAATGGAAGCTGTTGAATGGCCTCAAAAACACCAGGACGCATTCAAGAGGATTGGTACACGGCCTCCCACAGGGGTGTTGATGTTTGGACCTCCTGGTTGTAGCAAAACCCTCATGGCTCGTGCTGTAGCTTCTGAAGCTGGATTGAATTTTCTGGCAGTGAAGGGTCCAGAACTTTTCAGCAAATGGGTTGGTGAATCTGAGAAGGCAGTGAGATCCCTTTTTGCAAAGGCAAGGGCTAATGCTCCATCAATCATATTTTTTGATGAAATTGATAGCCTTGCCGTAATTCGTGGGAAGGAAAGTGATGGGGTTTCAGTTTCTGATAGAGTCATGAGTCAACTTCTTGTTGAGTTGGATGGTTAGTATGTGATGTGAAGCATTCAGTCCCCTAATATATTCATGGTGCTTTCATTCATATATTTTTCAGACCTTTGTTTTTTCTTTTTAGAATGCATCTATGGAGCTTTGCTTATACCTATTTAATTTCGATTTAAAACATCTTCGTTTTGCTTTAGCCTCCCTTGAGGAGATTCTATCTCACCTATCTGGATTATCATTGGAACTTAGCATGTTTTGCGCATATGGAATAAAATATACTGACTTGACTGAAAGTCTTGCTGATCTAGGTTTGCATCAAAGAGTTGATGTTACTGTTATTGCAGCTACTAATCGGCCAGACAAGATTGATCCTGCCCTTTTAAGACCAGGTCTTTTCTTTCTCTCTCCATCCCCTTCCCTCGACATGCACAAGCTCAAACACACCAATTTTATAACCTTCTACTCTTATAGCATAAACATGATCACCTTTCTCATAATAATTAATTAAAGATTCATGCAGGTCGCTTCGATCGATTGTTATATGTTGGACCACCAAACAAGAATGATCGTGAAGATATATTCCATATCCATTTGCGTAAAATTCCTTGCAGCTCGGATGTGAGCTTAAAGGAGCTTGCTCATCTCACAGAGGGCTGTACTGGTGCTGACATATCATTGATTTGCCGGGAGGCAGCTGTTGCAGCTCTTGAGGTTTGTGAGTTCATGCTGTGTTTTCTGGAATGTTTTCTCCATTGTTGATTTAATGTTACTTTCCTATCAGGAGAGCCTTGATGCTGAAGAAGTAACAATGTGTCACTTAAAAGCTGCAATCAGACAAGCACGACCGTCAGAGATTCAGTTGTATCAAGAGCTATCAGCTAAGTTTGAAAGGCTTGTTCATTCCAGTACTATAGAAAAGACACTAGGATCTCAACAGTGCTCAATTACATCGACTGGGCTACCCTTTTGGTAAACATTTCTTCTTTCCTTCACTTTTCTCTAATGAGATTGATTAGCTATAATGTATCTTTCTTTCTCTAACAATATCAAGTCTCAAGCTGTGATATGCACAGCAGCTAAATATATCTAATCTTTGTGAATTACTTATTGACATTGGATCTTGAATTCCAGATTCTTCTCAAATTTGGTATTACTATATATGTGATCTGTCCTTTGGAACTTAAGTGCTAAAGCTAACTATTGCTTAAAAGATCTAAAGGAACTGTATATATGATCAAAAGAAACCAAAGTGCTAATGCTAACTATTCCTTATCAGATCATCTAGGATGGTAACCCATTGCATGCTTACAACACACTTGTCAAATGATTGGTAGATACAGTGTAACTGAAGGGTTGTCTTTTTTCTTCTGGGTGGTGGGGTTCAGAGTTTGTTACTGTTGAAAGTAATTCTAAATGTGTTGGTTTCTATCAAGGAAAGATGCCTTATTTGATGTATTAAAGTATACTACACTTTGTAGTTTGCAATAGCCGCAAATGGCTTGCAGCTGCTAATCCGTAATGACTGTTGTTTCCCTTAAAGAAATTAGATTTGAGGTTTCGTATTTGTTGTACTCTGCAGTTTTTTCCTAAGAACTTTGGCTTCCATGTCTTTCAGGAAATTAACTGATTGAATGTGTTTTCTTCTCTTGATCCAATGCAGCCGGACCCTGATAAAATCCATGTCACAGTTCTTTGCTCGTTTCCCAGCAGCCCTCCTACACTCAAAGTCTGCTACAAATGGTTAAACCACAAATACGATTGATTTCATAACTTAAAACACATGGAATTCCTGCTGCTTTCTAAAGAATGGAGTCGTGATTTCATGTTTATTTCAAAAGCGGTCTTTTGGCAGTGAGATGGAGTTCAGTTTGTCCTGGTTTCGGTGGTGGTGATACAGCAGTAGTGCCATAAGCCCCATGGTCATAGAAGAATGGTAGAGGCAATGGAACCACAATTTTGACTCCGCTGGTATGTTTGTAAATGTAACTTTACCTGACTGACCTTGTTTTCTTAATGATTATGACACAGTTTTGTGCTTTGGTTTCCGAATGCACTCCTTCAGAAGGAATGAGAGGAAACGGCATTATCTGTCAAAGTGCTATTTCCAGGGAGAAAGCTCCCTACACCAATCAAACAAGGGGCTTTTTGCTAACCCAAAAAGTTATGGATTCTTAATACTAACGTACCAATTTTTTGTTTCGTCAAAAGGAGATAATAAGGCAAATTTCTTGATTCTTCGCAAAATTATTTTTTGTAAATTTTAATATTATACTATTGTGCAAATTAAATTTTTTAACATTTTGATGAAATTTTATACTATTACCTAAATTAAACTTTATAAAATTTTATTTTTTTAAATCATATTTAAAAATTTTAAAATGATTTTTTTTTTAAATTTAATGATCAAGCACGTTATGAAGCAACTAAAATATTAAATGGTAAAAGTGCGTCCTAAGTTGATTATTCAACTTATTAGATATTAATGACTTAATTAATTCATTTTTTCTATAAAGTTAGATATAAAAGATATCTTTTATTAAAATTACTATTATAAATTGTGTTTTCTTATTTTATTCTCTTTTCCTTTTATTGTGTTATAAAAAAAGAGAGAAAAAAGAGACTTTTGTGTGTTTGTTCTCTATTTACTCACTAATAATTTTCCCAAAAAAAAGACTTCAAAAAATGTACCTTTTAAAAAGTATGGTAATGACATTTTAAAATTATGATATAATTTAATTAATTTTAAAAGAGAAGGAAATTTTAAAAAATAAAGAAACAAAGAGAGTAGGGAGTTGGGGCAGGCGATTCACTTGGCAACGGCCCGTAATGCAGCCCTAAGGCATAACAGGCGCGCAGCCAAAAGAAACTCAAAGAGCAGCAGTTCAAGCTCAACTCATAGACACCTCTTTCGACCGACAAGGCGGTGGCGGTTTTAACCTCCGTAGCCCTTATTAGAGAAATAAAAATCCTCCTTTCGAACTATTCTCCTAGTTCTCTCTCTTTTGGCTCAAAATAACTTATCCTGTTTTCAGGTATTTTCAGCTCCACTTCATACCAACTTGATATTACGTACTTTTTCATATATTTTAGATTCTTTTAAATACATTTAGATTTTTTGAATTTGGGATTCTCTTCAAAGCACGATTCTTTCGCTCTGGATAATATAGTAGTGGGTGTTTGAAGTTATTGCTCTTTTTGGCCTCCAAGGCATGGTACACCAGAGGCTCCAATGGTCGCATGTTCTACGGGAGAAAGCATTTTGTGATGAATTTCACTCTGGGTATTAATGGGTATTTGGTCTTATTCAAAAATATGTTTAGTTCAATCCGGTTTGCTTCGAGACGTAGTTGTTCACTACAAAAAATGTCTTCTTAGATTGTATTATTCTGCTTCATCTGCTTTGTTGTTGGAAGACCATGTCTTTGATTGTAGTCCTGAGGTTGTAAGTGTTAATAATGAAGTTGAGGAGCTTCAAGTTCCAGGGAAGAGGTTCGAATTTTGTGGAAATCCCTGGCTTATTCCTTTGGTTGTGAGGGTATTTAAATCCTTGAATTGGGACATTGCAAGGGAAATTAGGTTCAATATGGCTGTAAAGATGTACGGATTTGATCATTCAATGTATGCATTTCGGATCATCATTCATATATTTGCAATGGCAGGGATGCAGATGGAAGCACATGCTTTGCTTAGAGATATTGTTTGCTATTACAGAGAGGTGAAGACTGATATGTTTGAATTATTACTGTATCTGTTGGATTCACCTGAGCATGTCCATAGATCAGCTGATGTTTTCAATGTGCTCATCAAGGTTTTTGCATCAAATTCGATGCTTGAGAATGGTATTGACGTTTTTGTGCAGGCTAAAAAAATTGGGCTTGAACCAAATATTATGTCATGCAACTTCTTGCTCAAATGTTTAGTAGAAGCAAATAGAGGAGAATTTGTGAGAAGTTTGTTTGAAGATATGAAGAACTCGGGGCCATCTCCTAATGTTTACACCTATACGATTATGATGAGCTTTTATTGTAATGGATATTGTGGGAGGGATGTAGATGTCGGACAAGCAAATAACCTTCTAGAGGATATGGAGAGTGGTGGGAAAAATCCATCTGTTGTAACATACAGCACATATATTGGTGGACTTTGTAGAGTTGGTTGTGTTGAACTTGCTCTAGATTTCATTCGAAAGTTGTGTTTTAGAAACCAACCGATCAATAGCTTCTGTTATAATGCCATTATATATGGATTTTGCCAAAAAGGTGAACCATACGAAGCTTTGAAGGTTTTGGAAGAAATGAAGCATTGTGGAATATCACCAGATGTACATAGCTATAGCATTTTGATTGATGGGTTCTGCAAAGAAGGTGATTGTGAGAAAGGTATCAATTTGATTGATGAGATGATACTCAACGACATGAGGCCTTCACTTGTTACTTATACCTCACTCTTTCATGGTCTGTGTGAGAGTGGATTGGCAGATGTTTCACTGAATTTGTTTCGTAATCTTGCTGATGATGGATATGAATATGACTTGGCTGCTTACAATGTCTTGCTCAAGGGATTTTGTCTTCAAGGTGATATGGATTCTGCCATGGAACTTTTTGAGGAGATGTTCAGCAATAGCTTAATTCCTACAGCCAACAGTTTCAACAGGTTGATTCATGGATTCTGTAAGATGGGGCTCTTGGATAAAGCCTTGGAGCTTTTCAAAATCATGCTGCAAAGTGGCGTCTCACCAAATATCTTCACTTGCAATGTAATTGCTGATGGTTATTGCAAAGCAGGACATTTGGAGGAAGCTTTGAAACTTATAAATGGAATGCATGAGTTTGGCATTTTTCCTAACTCATATACATATAATGGAATTATGAAGAGGCTTTGCATGCAAAGCTATTCAGGAAAAGCTTGGGAACTTCTTCCTCAAATGATTAAGAAGAACATTCTTCATAATGTTCATTGTAACATCCTTATGAATGGATTTGCTGAACAGTCAAAACCAAAAAAGGCCTTGATGTTGTATGCAAGAATGTTAAAGCTTGGGTTCACACGAACCACAATTACACATACAATTCTTATCAACATATTCAACCAGAGGTGCAAAATGTATGAAGCGTATAGTTTGTTTAAGGACATGATAGCAAAGGGTTTGATTCCTGATACCATTTCTTACACATCTGTTATAGCTGGGTTTTGTAGAGTTAGAGATATGAAAAAGGCTTGGGCTCTGTATACAGAAATGCTGCGGAGAGGTTATTCACCCAATGTTGTCACTTATACCTGTCTAATTGATGGATTTTGTCATTTACACCGTATGGATATGGCCAACTTGTTAATTGATGAAATGAAAAGACGGGAAATCAATCCTGATGTGGTGACATATACTGCTTTAATTTCTGGGTACAAGAGACTTGGCGATATCGATAGAGCACACGAGTTGTTCGCTGAAATGAAAAGTAAGGGTATTGTTCCTGATGATGCTGCCTATAGTGCATTGGGGGAGGATAATGGCACAACTACATATAATTAGACAACTATGGAAATGATGAAAGAACTGGATGGTAAGTTCCTCACTTCTTTCCATTAGAATATAATCTGAATTTCAATTTTACATAAAGGCAATTTTAACTTTTTTGAAGATCCTTCTGATTTCGTAAATGCATGTAGGCAGCCATAGTATTTCCAGTTGCATTACATTATACTCTTGTCAGAGCTCTCTTACAGTTTCAAATATTCTTTCTTAGTGTCATAGAATCATCTTTTGTAAGAAGTGAGGTAATGACGTTTTGTTGTTGATAGAAATCACAATATACCTTGAAGTATCATTTGGTTACCTTTTATATGATAGTGTGTTTACATTAACGCATTTATTTAGCGTCACTGTTGGTTTTATTTTATTTTTTGTTGCACATAATGAAGGTTAATTGTTGATCACTGTTTTATCTTACAGTATTTGATTATGAACCACAAACAGAGTGCTTCTTCATGGTCCTCCTGGTATGTGAAAGACTTCTTTGGCTCAAAGATGTGCCCATGATGCTGGTATCAAGCTTTTCTCTGGGAATGGAGTTTAAGATTGTTAGTCAAAGTTACAAGGAAATTTAACAGGTATTGCGTTAAATTTCTGATTCAGCTACACAGGCCGCGGCTGCTGTGGCTAAATACTCTTCTGGAGTGGCTTCTGAAGATACTGAAAAGGCCAGATGAAAGTAACCTGGCACCATGCATGAGGTATGACTAAGACATCTATTTTTGAGGAAGTTTATTGCTTATCACTACATCATGGCACTGGAGCTTCTACAATCAGAAGAAATAAAATCTTTTACTTTGTCTTCTTGGAATGTTCTTAATTCGTTTGAAAAGGTTTGAAAATGGAATATTCTTGAGTTGCTGGTTGATTCCTTCCACTATTAACTTTTTTCTCTCTATTTCTTGGTAAAAGGCAATTGGGAAGATGTTGGCAGTCAAAACGCAGTAAACAGAAATAGGTGGCCAGCGAAGATTCAGTTGTATCAAGAGCCATCAGCTAAGTTCTTAAGGCATGTGCACTGCATTTTACTGTTTACGATTCGGTAAACACTTCTTTTGCTACAATTTTCTCTGATTATCAGTATTAACATGTTGCTCAGTAAGGTGGATTTAAAATATGCAATTTGCTGAGATGTACCTTTCTCTTTCTCTCTCTGTGCGAGTATATGTGATGCATATGCCTTATTGCTTTTTACAGAAGCTGAACAGATTCGCTGTGAATGGCACATTCACACTGAAGGTTAAAATTATGGAGAATGATGGAATTTTCCCACTGCATACTATGACCCTTCAAGTATGATGTTTCCTGTCAAATTTCACTTTACTAGCGATATCCCTGGCACCGGAGTAGTAATATCAGTGCAAATAAACAATCAGAATGACCTGAATGGAAGCTAAGCACGGGTACTGTACTTATCTGATCTCATGGGACAACGACCCATTCCATAGCAATCCAGGACGTTGATCACGCTAAAGGTCCTATGAATTGGCAGATATGGTGGGGGTGGGGCAAAACCAATGTTTTCAGAGTGTTTTGGAGGAATATCTGTAGTCCAATTCCATAAGCACTGTGTCAAGAAGAGATGTAAAACTAATGTCATAGTAGCAACATACAACTAGCTCTTGCTAATCCATTTATATTGCTGTTTGCAAGATTTCAATAATTAACGAGTATCCCCTCTGAAATGAGTTAAATGTGGATTTGCTTATTTAAATAGCATTTTCATCACTTTCACCGTTTAACAAAGATCAATCATGTTTCTTTCCATCGGATTTTTCGTCTCAGGGTTGGGGAAGGAATAAACATCAAGAGACCAATTTTTATTTCCATGTAAGACCTTCAGAATAATGGGATCCGTGGCGCAATGGTAGCGCGTCTGACTCCAGATCAGAAGGTTGCGTGTTCGATTCACGTCGGGTTCAATCCCCTTCAGCTGATCCCCAATATTTTTTATTTTTTTAAATATAGTTAAATCCCTCAAGTATATTTCCACATCAATCCAACCCTGGTCCACTACAGACTAGAGTCCACCCCCCTCATCAGTTTTGGGCCAAATACAAAACTAATTTAGTCCATTGTCCACTATAGACTACAGTCCAACCCTCATCATTTTGGGCCAAATACAAAACAACTCGAGCCCAACTTTTCAAAGAAACCCTCATCAGTTTTGTGCCAAATACGAAACTAATTTAGCCCAACTGTTCAATGGGCATAGGCACGATTAGTAGTCCAATACTGTGGATGATGGATAATGTTGGTAGTCTTTTATCCTCTGTAGTTAAATTAACAAACTATTGAACAAGTTTTTCCTTTTTTGGTTTTTCAACATAAGGTCGGATTCCTGGACTACCTGCTTCACAAGCAACTAGAGGGGAATGAAATGAGGCCTGACAAATTAGAAACTTTAGAACCATTTTTTACCTTATCATACATTAATAACATCAAACAGTCAGCATTGCAAAGCATATTGACATGCGCTGCTTGGAACATGCTAGATAACTCACAGCTCTAAATTCGAATTCAGGAAAGTGCTATGAATTATTTATGGTGTCTTCATCTACCTCAGGCTTCACAAAGAACTCAATATAAGCAATTCGACTAGGCTGCTGATGCCTGGCAGAATCAATTTGTGGATGTGAAATAGCCAGTTTTGCTACTGAAACTAGGTGCTGAACTTTCAGCATTCCTCCTCTCCCAATAGTCAATTTACTTCCTCTGTTATCTTTAATAACACTACTGGGTAGGTTTGAAGTTGTTGCGTGGAGAAATTTGTATTTATACCTGCCAAGGTCAAGATGAGAAGAGATGAGGTTGATTTGCTGAAGTGAAGAGGCAAATAAGATGTAAAGGATCAGTACAAAATAGACATACCTATAGGAGACTTGGCGATCACAGTGAAATGCAATTAAAAGATCAGTGTTCACATGATACATGAAGTCTATCTGCAAGCAAGTTGAGCAATTAAGCTTCTAAATACCTTAAAAAACCTCAAGTTAAAGTGCAAAAGTAAAAAACACCTGCAAGTCTCCATGGCCTTCTCCTTTAAATGTAACACAAGGGGGGACTGGCTGTAGAAGGATCTGGATGCTAGACCCTGGCCATTCTAGGTCATCAATTGCTTCCTTTAGCGCTGCAGACTGAAGAAATGACAACGATGGTGATAATTTTTAGTTGTAACATATGATTGAACCTAATAGGATCTTAAATCAAAGGTGCATATTCCCAGTCCAACCATGTAGCATCAAGGTATCATCTAATAAAAGACCACAAAAGTGTCTGGAAGTGCTCAAACCTAACATCAGAATACCGAGGAGTATGCTTCTATTATGGAAATGCAAACCACCTAATAATTTAATTCATTAAGTCCCAAGTTTATTAATCAGCAGTTAGCTCCACATTTTCAGTGTAAAATAAATGTATTTATGAAGTTTACAATGTTCTGTTCAAGCAGGAAAGCACGAGATACATTAAGTCTATATCAATTTATCTTAAGTCGTGTTTTAAATCAAAACACTGTCATATTATTTTCTTAATTGACATTATCCCTTATGAATAGTATATGTTTTTTTCTACAGAAGTAAACCGGCAATAATATCCTACCTCAGTCTAGTAATCTTTAAGAAAAGTACAGCAGGTTGCATTATCTATTGGAGAAAGAGGGCATAGAGGGAAAGTTTGAAGCAGCCATTAACCAATGTGTCCTAAAGTTTCCTAACTCACAGAATGCTTGTTCCTTTCTCATATGATATGATCGCAGACAAGAGAATACCTTCACGGTAAAAGTAAGTGGTGTGCTTCCTGCAGGTTCAAAGTTGTAGTCCCATGAAATTGTATCTGGGATTCTTGTCCTAATTTCCGCATAAATACAAGCATCGAGTGAATCAACAGACCTAACAACCATTGAAAAAAAAATGAGTCATATTGGGAGCTGAGTTTTTAAAATTCTGCAATCACCTAGTTTACGACGAAATAGCTTGATAAGCTTGAAGGTGTCTTATTGACCTCTGCGTAATGGACTTCTTAAGCTTGAATTAGATACAATTCGGAAACTTCATAATATAGTTAACAAAAAATCACTTCAATTAAGGTAATAAGAACAATTTGAGATTTCACCCATTGAACTACAACTCTGCTACAATTGAGATAAATAACAAAGAACAGGGAAAACATACTTGACAAGGAGCTGCATATCAGGCCCTGGGTATTGAATCTCAATCATACTTGAACGTCCAGGCAAAGAAAACGTATTCAAACAGTCGACAAAGAGCCCCAAGCTCACTCCAAACCGCGGTCGCCCTTCAGCATTATATTCATAGCGAATGAATAGCTGCAATCGAATAGGAATTGCTAAGACCCAAACTGCCAATTAAACCAGCTAGAAAAAACAAATTGACTAAACCATATACTCTATGTAATTGCGGGCAAAAAACAAAACAAAAGAAGAAGAAAATAAGAACCTCGCGTTGAAGATAAACTTTGGCTTGAAGGCAACCGGTATCCTCCACGATCAAAACGACGCCGTGTTCTGATAATTCCACCACTGCATCCTATGATTAAAGCAAACGGTAAAGTTAAAATCTCCAAAACCCTAGATTACTGAAAAAACCATTAACTTTCGAACATAAAATGAAAAAAAAAAAAAGGAAACAGACCTGATGGCGTTTCCATCTAACGGCGGAGAGTGCGTCGACCATGCCTTGGACGTTGTCCAGCTGGCAAACTAGATCCGGCGCTTCGGCTTCCAACGCCGACGAGCTCATCTCTTCCTCTCTCTCTCTCTCTCGCTCTCGTATTTCCTTTCCCGCCAAATCTCCTTACGGACCAAAAGAGACCCGGTAATCCATTTTTACCGTTTTAAGAGATCTAGCTACGATTGTGTAAGTCCACGCAACGGCTGTGATCTAGTGATAGTTTCCAGCTCACCATTTTTGAAAACAAAATTACCATTCCACACTAAAACAAAAAATTCTTTAAAAAAAAATATCGTAGCCAAAAGAAAATTATAAAATAACTTTTTTCTTAAAACTTTCAATTTTTTAATAATTAAAAAACAAACTCAATCACAATCATTATGATCTTATCTACATTTTAAATAAAATGATTATTCGAGATTTTAAATTCTTTATTTTTTTTATTTTCAAAATTGTTGGTTATTAATAATCAATTATTGATTATTGAAAATAAATCACTTGAATTTAATTGGAGTTATAAAAAACTAAAATATATAATAAAGATCTATGAAAATGACAAATTCAAATGGATATAATCTAAATAAAATGATATATAGATCATATTAGACAACTATTTATGAAGTTATATTGAGATTTAGATTTTCATTTCGATAATATTAATTAATTTTTGTGTGCATGCATGTGTATATGTTTTTTTTTAATTGAAGTGAAGATATATAATAGTTAACTTAATTTTGTTATTATTTAAAAATCACATATATTATATCAAAATTCTTTTAATAATTTAACCTATAACATTATTTGGAATATAGTGATAATATTAATGATTGTGAAACTTAACCGTTCAATATAAAATTTTATAAGTCAATTTTGATGTTTACTCAAATATTTATGAGATATAATTCTTGACCATTAACTAGAGTCCTTTAGTTTATATCATTAATAAAGTTGCTCATTGAGTTTGATATGATTAAGTGGGTGACATTAATTCAATTGAAAATTTTACTCAAAAGTCAAATGATAAAATAAAAAATAATGCATTATTGAGGATATTGAATTTAAATGTTGTTAAAATTTATTCTCATGCCTCTAAAAAAGTTAAATTAAAAATTTATGATATAATACTAAAAAAATCAATAAATTATTAAAAAATAAACAAACTATCATTTTTTGTTCTTTAATAAAAATTTTATACTTTTAATTTAAATCAAATAAAAGTTTATAATTAACTATTGATTAATTACTATTAAATAAAAAAATATGTTTTTTTTGTAATCAATGCTTGATATGATATGATATGTTATTTTATTATAATACAAAGTAACAAAATCATGTGATTACATAATTACATTAATATGTCATATTATTATATAATAAATTAACATATCATATTAGTATAACGTGATATAAAATTATAATTATTATTATAAGTAATTATAATTAATTATTAATTATAAAAAATTATTTAATTAAAAAATAAGTCTTTCACTAATTATTAAGTATGCTTCTTAGATTAAAAATATGAATTTGTAAATTATAAAATTATTTAAATTTTATTTTCAAAGCTTCATGTTATATAGGGTTGGGTTTAAATTTCAATCTATAGCAGTTGATATTAGAACAAATTTAAACTTTTATGAATTAATTTAAAAATTTATATTTAAATAAAATAAAATATCATAAATTTCACATCTTTAATAAATAATCTTGAAACATGTCTTTTAGATTAAGAATTATACTTTTAAACTTAATTTTTTTATAAAAAAATTATAAATTTATTTTTGATACTATTTTCTTACACACAATTTTTCACCAAAAAAACGGAAAGTACAAGAAAAATGTGAACGGAAAAAGGGCAAAATCCCACTGCCCGCTAATATAGCGGAACACGAGGCCCAATCAAGTCATTTCAAAAACGTCGTTCCGTCGTCACGCCCTCCCAAAAAGCCAAAAACGCGAAAACCGCCTCGTGCCGGTTATCCCTCATCGTCTTCTCCGCTTAAAAGCGCCGCTCTCCGTTGTCCGTACAGCCATCTGTCTGTTTCTCAGTTCCCACCACTCTCTTTCGCTCTCACGTTCTTTGTTTTCTTTTTTTCTTTTTTTCAAAATCCCTAAAAATCCGCTTATCTCCGATGGCGCAAATTAACCGTGCCTCAAAACCCTAGAACCCCGCCCTTTTTCGGTTTTTTATTATTTCTTTAACTGTAAAGAACCAGTGAAGTGGAATGGATGGAATGAGTAGCAGTAGCAACGGCCAAAACGATGCATCAACCACCGGCGGAGGAGCCCAAACGGCAGCGCAACCTCAACCGACCCCTCAGCCGGTGGCGGTGCAGAGTGCGAACGCGCCACCGCCTTTCCTGAGTAAGACTTATGATATGGTGGATGATCCCGCCACGGATGCCATCGTCTCTTGGAGCCCGACCAACAATAGCTTCGTTGTTTGGAACCCACCGGAGTTCGCACGGGATCTTCTGCCCAAGTATTTCAAGCACAACAACTTCTCGAGCTTCGTCAGGCAACTAAACACCTATGTACGCCTTCTTTTTTTTTTTAATTTCTTTTACCTTTCGCTTTAGTACTTTAAATTTTATAGTGTCAAGTAATTAGTGTTTGAACTTTCCTTAGAAAAAATTGGAAAATATTAAGTACTTTTGTTTCTTTTAGTTTGACTTGTTAAATGTTTGATTTCCTTGTTGATGATAAGTATTCATTGCGAATGTGAAATTGTTCCAAATTAAGTTAATTTTTTTGGAAGCGATCGAGTAAACTAAGAGTCCCCCTTGTGGTTGCTGAGAAAATTTAGAAAAATGAAAACCATGGAGGATAAGTTTTAGAAATGTTTTATAGTAAATTAAACTTAGAGGAACAAGTGTAGGAATCAGTGTTCTAGGTAAGGGTATAGGGTTGCTAGGGCCTGAGTTATTGAAGGAATCAGTTAAACACTCACTAAACCTTTTGGTTAACAAGATGTTTGTCAAGGACTAATATATGCCAAGTTATGTTAATATTATTTTAGTTGCTTTGAGCAGGATCAGTTTCCGGTCTCAACTAAATGTGATGTTTATACCGGGGATATAATGGCTTGGTTTCATTGTCTCCCAAGTCACGGAATTGTGTGATTTAAAGTTTTAATTGTGTTTCTTCCTGGATTTTCTCAGCAACTAAATGGAGCAGAAAGGGGAAATTGGAAAAAGAAAGCAGGTCACATGTTGTTCATGACGTGGTCACAAGGTCATCAAAAGTTTTGTCTTTGTTTGTTGTTACTGGTTTAAATGAGACATATCTGAAGGACATTTAATATTTGATGTTGGAGTGGTACACATGAATGTGTCACTGAGATAATCAACAAGTTCAGATCTCGTATAATTCATCATGGAAGTGGATATGACCATTGTTGTTGGGGTATATAGCATGAAAGATGCGTGCACAGTGCAGGCATATTATGCATGCATTTGGACTTTTGCTCCTTGTATGTGTGTGAACCAGGCAGAGTTTAAGAAATTTAGCTGCTAGGCTTTTTCTCATGGATTAAGCTTTTATCACGTTGGATTTAGGCCTCAAAATTGCGGAGAGAGAATTTTTGTCTTATAGATTGAATAGAGTTTACTTTGTTTGAGATTCAAGGGCAATAAACTGGCCAAAAAAAACGAACTTGTTGCAGGGATTTGAGGATAGTGACCAAACAGTAAGGGTTAGGCTTTGTGTTGCGAGGGAAAGAATTTAATAAGGGTGCTGTTATACAGTTCTTGTTCAATAAATTGTTGAATATTGACAATTTTTAGCCTTTGCAGCATCAATATTATAAAATATGTAATGACCAGCCTAATTGCTCTGGTGAAATTTGTGTTATTTGAAAATAATACAATCTTGATTAGTAATCATGCATTCGTACTCATTTTGCTGTAACAGCCAGAATGCACTTGACTGAGGCTTACATCTAAGTAATTTACTGGCAAGCGCACCTCTATTCTGTGAAAATGACTTCTTCAATATTCTAAGATCTTAGTTAAAAATTTCTATTAACGAATCATTCTGCCATAACTCTTTAAAGGCAAGTGGAAGAACTAGGATGAAAATGAAATATGTGTTAAATTTTCTTACCACTTCATATGCAATTCTCAAACTCTATGCGTATTTGTCATTATACATTCCATGCATATTCACGTGCATTTCTTGTATGTATATGTATATCGTAGATACATACACTATTCTGTTCATGCATGATCCTAGGGGTTTGTCATTGGTTGTCATTTTGTCAATATGAGATTCTGATTATATAAATATTTTCTCCTTATCTATGAGCTACTTTGGAGCAGTTTGTATCTTTGTTGGAAAACAAGAACAATGGTGCTTGTATTTTGGGAAATGTTCATCTTATTGTTAAATGAATCTTATGGTACTGTTTAGATCTGATTGTAGTTTATCCTGTGCTACTCCACAGATTTCCTTTGGAGTGGTGTATGTATTACTTTGGCTTCTTAGTACCATGGGTGTTGCATTTTTGTTTATTGCATGATCATGCACAGATTTCCTTTGGAGTGGGATATGTCACTTTGGCATCTTAGTAGCTTGGGCGTTGCATGTATTCGCATTCTTCATTAACTGTTCTTTAAGGTTATATTGATGTGTTCAGGTAAGCTTGTTTATTAGATAGTATTTTAGGAAGTTCAAAGCGTAGGTGTCACATCAAATACATGCCTTTTTAAATAGAATCATTGAATGCTGGCCTTGATTGATAGTTCAATCATTTTGGTAGGGATGGAGATAGGAAATGAGTGAGAACCAACAAGTATGTCTGTGGAAAATGCATTTTTTTTCTTAAAAGTTTACAGTAAAAACTTTTATAGAATGGTGATAGTTGTTTAATGCTTACATTGTTACAGTCAAGTTGATGCGACCTCTGTGCTGCTCCTGAATTCGGAAACTAAGTTTGATTGTCCACTGATATGGCACCACCTTGAAAGCTTTAGTGTTTTAAGGGAGAATGGAAAATATGGTGGACCTGAAAGCTATCCTTCTATTTGACAGTGAAATCTGCTTTGGGCCTAGTTTAGTTACTTCGTATAGTTATTTTTTTATGCTAATTTGTGTTAACATGGTTGGAGTGTGAGCCAGACATTGTGGTCTTTATATTAGTTTTTCTGGTATTGTAGAAGTATGCAAGATTTATGATTTGCAGAACAGAAGTATATTATCTTTCAGGAGCTAGATATACCTTACAAGATTTATGATCTTGCCTTAGTTCTTCAACTCAAGCCTTCATAAAAAATTGAAAATTCAAATACGTTAGTTATAGTAAGGTTAAAACCTTTTTTTTTAAATTAAAATTTCAACTGACTTTTAGCAAGGCTTGCTAGTTTGACTTTCAGTAAGGTTGAAATGAGTTGACTCAAGCTGGGCACCTCTTATGTGAGCTTGCTTATTTGGGTTTTATTCGGGTCAATCTCTAATTGAATCAAACTTCTTAGCTCAATTCAAGCTTTTTCTTTCTTACTCTTTATCCTTTTTTGAGTTTGGACCAGTGTAAGAGGATTCCTAATAAGGGCTGTCCTGGAGTGGGGATTGGAGATGGTGCCCATTGTGCCCACTTGGCTTGTTTATTTGATAAGCTTGAATATTAGGCTTGGGCTTATTTATTTAAACTAGTTCCAAATAAAGTGACAAGCAACTGCTCATCAGTGATTACCATGCCTTTACAGATGGATGTCTGTATGATTGTATCCATGAACTTTGTCCCTTTTTTTCCCCTATCCTTTTTGTTTTTATCATTTCCTTCAGACCAGCAATATTGACATAAATTTTTGTATTTTTGTCAATAACAACTCTGCTGAGTGATCTGCTTTTTTTCCCATACTTTTTGTTCTTGCTGATGTGCGTGGATAGGGTTTCCGAAAGGTTGATCCTGACCGCTGGGAATTTGCAAATGAGGGATTTTTAAGGGGTCAGAAGCACCTGCTTCGGAATATTAGTCGGCGAAAGCCTGTCCATGGGCATGGCCATCAGCAGACACAGCAATCACATGGACAGAGTTCATCCGTGGGTGCCTGTGTTGAGGTTGGGAAATTTGGGCTTGAAGAAGAGGTTGAGAGGCTTAAGAGAGACAAGAATGTGCTTATGCAGGAACTTGTTAGGTTGAGGCAGCAGCAACAGGCTACTGATAACCAGCTGCAAACCATGGTGCAACGTCTTCAGGGGATGGAGCAGCGGCAGCAGCAGATGATGTCATTCTTGGCAAAGGCTGTGCAGAGCCCCGGCTTTTTGGCTCAATTTGTGCAGCAGCAAAATGAGAGCAATAGGCGCATAAGTGAAGCGAACAAGAAGAGGAGGCTCAAGCAGGATGGTATCATTGATAATGAGCATTCTGCTTCCTCTGATGGACAGATTGTTAAATATCAGCCTATGATGACTGAGTCGAAAGCAATGCTCAGGCAGTTCATGAAAGGAGATGCTTCTCCCAGGATGGACTCTTTTAACAACAATAATGAAAATTTTCTGATTGGTGATGGTTTGTCATCGTCCAGCGGAATGGATGGTGGGAACTCTTCAAGCCGTGTATCTGGGGTGACCCTTCAGGAGGTCCCACCAACTTCAGGCCAATCAACATTTATACCAGCAACTTCAGAGATCTCAGGGCAGTGCCCCTCAACTGCCGTAACTGAAATACAATCTTCCCCAAGTGCAACAACCTCTGAAAAGATTACAACAGCACAGTTTCCCGATGTGAGTGCACTGGTTGGAGTGCAAAAGCCACCATCAATATCCGTTTCTCAGACAGATATAATTATGCCTGAGCTTTCTCAAATACCAGACATGGTCCCTGAAAGCATTGTTGATATTCCAACAGAAAATTACATGGGGTCTGAAACAGGGAATGGTGGATTTATTGATCCTGCTGCATTGGTTGTGGATGGTTCAGTTCCCATAGAACTTGATGACATTGGTCCTGATCCTGACATAGATGCCTTGCTGGATAATTCTACTTTCTGGGATGACCTTCTTGTGCACAGTCCATTGCCTGATGATATTGAATCACCCTCAATGGATGGTAAAAACAAGGGAAATGAAGGGCAGCCGATTGACAATGGATGGGACAAATCCCAGCATATGGATAAACTTACAGAACAAATGGGTCTTCTTAGATCAGATAACAAGGGGCTTTAATCTTGTGTACCAAAACCTATATTGCCTTTCACATTATCTGAGGTAAACCTGAAAGTTATATTATTAACCTTTATAATCACATGATCCTCTTATTTAGCCATTGGAAACACAACTAATGCCTTCATTATCTTTGTTTTGCACTCGCACATATATAAACCGTATAAACCTGAACTTTAGTTTTCTTTTTGATTATATCCAACTGGAGTTTTCTTTCACTTCACCTTTGGGCTGAGTCCAAAGACTATTGGTCATTGGTGGTGTTGGGCAATTGGTTGTAGGCATAACTTTTTTAACCTTACAAAGTCTTAGGAATGGGTTTGTGTGATATATTCTCTGGGAGATTGCTAATGACTGGCTTTACAAGGGAGGTCGTACCCTGGAAATCATTTTGCTTATGCCTGTTTCATTATACTGGATATGAAAAAACCCTGGTGAAACCATTTCCTGAAGGCCTCCAACACTGAAATATTTTTAATATGTGGATGTAATGTGAAGAATTTCTTTCCAATGTGTCTTTTATTTTTTTTTATATTGTGGTTATTGAACATCAGCATCAACTGTGTTGGAGCCAGTCTTATCTTGCTCGTACCTTTTAGGTTTCGAACCAGCTGGCATGAGTAGGACCTGAGTATGGTAACCAGCGTGTAGTGGCTGATACCGTAAACTAAAGATAAAGTGAAACTCGAGGTTCAAGGTTGGTGAAGATTGGGATGATTGCTTCCCTTAGATGGGGAGAATGGCTGGTGAGGCTACGCCTACCAGTGGGCTGATGGCGGTTTGCTAGGCTTGTTCCTGGTGAAGGATGAATCATGAACATATCAATTTACCGTTAAAACGTTAGTTCATTATTTTAAAGATTAAAGAATATAAGAAGAATAAATAGGTGGGGAATTTGGCTAATTATTCTTAATGAAAACTTAAAATCTTGTCAGGCATCTCACCGGGGTGCAGTAAAAGAGTTCACTGAGACGAAGGCCACCTGGTCAAATGACTCCTAGCGGAGGGAAGGAAGAGAACCTAGTCAAATGGCTCGGAATCAAAAACTGAAACAAAATTGGACAAGCACGGTAAAGGGAAGTCATGAATTTTATATTGGCTGTGTAATAAGGTGAGATGATTATTTGATTGCCATAAGTTTATATAGACCAAGACAGTTGATATCAAAATTAGTTCTGAATAGTAACAATGGCTTTATGATACTAACTATGTGTCACTTCTACTGTTGACTTGTAAGAAATTTTTAAATTTTAATATTTACACGTTTATGAGGACACATGTGGGGCTTAAAGCTGACTTGGTGCCTGTTAGTCTCTGAAGTTTGATTCATTTAGCATTTATAACTGCGATATTAACCATTCACATTTTAAAAAAAAAGGGCGTTACACGTATGTTTTATTAATTGTGCCGGCTTTTGTTATTGTTGGTTAAAGCGAAATGCGGCGGTTGCATGGCTTAACCTTCCATTTCGGATTCTGATCCTAATAACTCGATGTTCTGATCCCCGCCGGCACGTTCCCCTTTCTTTCTTCCCACCTCTGATGTTATCGAAGATTTGCTCGAATAATCAATCTAACGGCTTCTCTCTTTCCCCTTATTCCGCCATGGAAATCTTAACTTTAGAAGCACATGTTTAACGATAGCCATGGAAAATGGGCATCTTGTTAAAAAAGACAAAAAAAAAGAGACACGTGCCATTCCAAGAACTGACAGATGCTGACATAAACCAGGAGGTCCGTGAATCAAGGGATTGTCACTGCCCACAATCATATCTTCTGTATTTATAACTGTTAGATTGATCTATTTGTTTTACACGTAAAACATTTTAAAAGAACAAGTGTGTAAATGACACTGGTTAGAGAGAGAAGGCACCAGCAGGGACTCCGTTTATCCCTACCACCACCACTACCTGCAGCTGATTTCCGGCAACGGTCTCATTACGCGGCGTTGCTGTCAGCCATTGGTCCGACATCTCCAGACATCGAAAGCCTCTCCGACCTCGAGAAACTATCCGTCATTGGCCACGGCAATGGTGGCACTGTGTACAAAGTCCGTAACCGTAAAAGCTCATCCGTTTACGCTCTAAAAGTCCTACGTTTCGATCAGAATGCGGCCATAATACGGCACCAAGCGGCGTGTGAAGCTGAAATCCTGAAAAGGGTAGATTCCCAATTCGTCGTGAAATGCCATGCGGTGTTCGACGCCATAGGAGGAGAACTCTGCTTCGTTATGGAGTACATGGAGAGAGGATCCTTGTACGATGAACTCTCCGTCAGGGTGAATTTGCCCGAAGATGTTATTTCCGGTGTTGCGCAAAGAGTTTTACGAGGGTTGCATTATCTGCATGGGATGCAAATCGTGCATGGCGATATAAAACCATCGAATCTACTGATAAATGGGAAAGGAGACGTGAAGATTGCAGATTTTGGAGTAAGCAAGATCGTCGTAGGCACCCGTAACGCCTGCGACACGTGCATGGGAACATGCGCTTACATGAGCCCAGAAAGGGTCGATCCCGAGAGGTGGAACGGGTGCCACGCCGACGGTTTTGCCGGTGACGTTTGGTCGCTCGGCGTGGTGGTCTTAGAATGTTTTGTGGGTCATTATCCGTTGATTGGTCTAGGGGAAAAACCCGATTGGGCGGCTTTGATGTGTGCTATATGCTTCAGGGAGAGGTTGGAGATGCCTGAGACGGCTTCGCCGGAGTTTAGGAGCTTTGTGAGGAGGTGTTTGGAGAAAGAATGGAGGAAGAGAGGGACAGTGGATGAGCTTCTTGGTCACCCTTTTGTGAATAGGAGTTTTGGAGGAAGTTCCAATGAAGGATTCATCGATTTTGCTTTGCACCATTGAGTTTCTTCAATTTTGCTAGAAAAAAATTTTCTTTTCAAGCCTTTAGCTTTGATCTCCATCGTTGATGGACCTTTGGGTTTCCAATATTTTGGTCGTACATATAAATTCTGTTGTTGGAAATGGCTGGTTAATATTCATGACAGAATGGAAAGCTAAACCAGTGAGCTGCTGGCAAATGATTCCCACTAGGAGAGAAATGTGTTAGTAAAGGTGAGACCAGACCTGGTGTACAACATGATCGATGGGTTATTTTTGGCCATTACCATAAAACATTCGGATGTCTTAACTAAACTAATCAAGTAGTTCTCATGGTGTTGCTGTTGATGGCACTTGGATTTTCATAAAAGTTCTTGGCTTAGCTGAATCTAGAACAAGATCTCATTAACTAATTTCAGCTTACTTCTAGCAATCAAGGTAATAGCCCTAGTTTCCAACGGTGTTGATGTTGAAATCTTTGTCAGATTTCCCAAAAAAAACTCTGATTAGCCTGTATCTAACATATCACTATCTGTAGTTATATCAGGGAGTTACTGGATTTATATCAGTTCTTTTTGTTGAGAAGGATTCATACCAGATTTGCACCCTGTATGATGAAATTATGTACACATAGAATCAGACAGACCAAATCTAAGTCCTCTTCCGATTCCAGACAAAACACACAGAAGACCAAATTGATGGCAGCCTGTAGTCTAGCTGAGCTCTAGATGAAGATGTACTGATGCCACTGATGATTCCTAGCATTCTTACTGCAAGGTGAAGCTGCGCTGAACTCAAAACATTTTTACAGTCACGAGAGTGGACCAACCAATCACCATTTCGGTGTTCTCCAACATTGACAAAAACCTGAGGTGGATGAATGAGAAAAAACCTGAGGTGGATGCATGCATTCTCAGCTTCCTTGGCATTATCCTGATGACAGATTTATCACTACCTAGGTAATTTCCCTTACTATTAAAGTTGAAATGAATGTAAATATGAATTAAACACCGCAAACAGACTGCTACAGAAAATCATCATTTCACTAATATTCATGTTTCAAAATCAAATGGAAGATTTTTCTGTCCTGTTTATCAAGAAGTGTTACAAAGGTTACACTTGTACTCTTTCATATATGCCTCCATGAATCCATAATAAAGTTCAGCAATGTACAGATATAATCAAGTTGTTGATGGTCAAAGAAGCCAGATCTCTTAGCTCTATGAACTCCATCCTCAAGAAATCTTCAATCATTTTGGGGGTGCCATGCTACGATTCTTTGTGAATTCCATCTGCTTCTGTAGAAGTCCACCTGGATTCAGTGGATTGGAGTCAGTAACATCAAATGACTAAATAAATTACATAAACATAAAAAAACAATGCAGTTGCCAAAAGGAAATATAGATTGTAACCATGAAGAATTGGACATTAGATTGCAATGCCAAAAACATGTAAAGCAAAAGAGACACCAAGAAATACTACTTTTCAAGACATGCCAGTAACTTTGCCACTCCCTTATGATGTAGGTCTTTGAGAGAAGAAAATGAGCCAAAAAATCCAAAATTTAAGTCACTCATTATAAGCGGAACTCAGGAATTTTAAGTGGCTCATATTATAATCAGTCATAATCAACAGGAATGAATCAGATCTAACAAAGTTGAGAAGGCAATTGATGTCCAGTGGATTGAAGAACTAACCTGGTCTTGATATCAGGTGGATGCAGGAACGAGGACCTTCAAATTTCCAGTTATCTTCATCCAATGATTTAACCTCTTCGTTGAGTGCAGCCATCAAATCAGATTTTAGAACTGCAATGTAGAAGCAATAGCATTTTCTTATATGACAATTAAATTTCAATGATTGGGACTTATAGCAAAACCCTTGCACAAATTAGCCCTGACAGGCTAAAACTGCAACCTGACTAGGGAACTTCCGCATTTAGAAAGTAGAAAGATGAAGGACTTAAAAAAGTTAAGAATTCTCTCTTTACATCCTTTTCATTGTCTCAGCAAGAACAAAAAATGCAAAATTATTTCTTTAATAAAAATAGAATCAGACCCTGAAGACAACTAAAGAATTCTTCAAAATAATCCCAAGAATTTTACAAAACTTAACCACATAATTCTGCCCAATAAACAAAATGGCTGTAAGAATCAATTTTGTTAGCATAAATTTCAATATTAGGATGTCAAGAAACCAAAATTATCCAACCAACTAAGCCTCATACAACAAGACTATAATTAACCAATACTAAAGACATCCCAACATATCCCAAAAGCCCACAAAAAGTAATGAAGAAATGTAGCAGAAACTATGAAGTATAGCATCAAAATTGAAGAATTCAACAGACACATTCAAAACCCAAAAACTTAATGCAGAAATAACATGACCCAAATGGCTAATAAGACATGCTTAACACATAATAGATAGTCCAAAGTGAAAGGAAGAAAATCCCCCAAAAAAAAAGGAAGAGAAAGAGAAACAAACCACGCATGGCCTCATCCTTGCGATCTTGGATAGAGATAAGATCAGAAGGGAAATGGAAATCCTCCAAACCAGCATTGGTGGTACTTGCTCCTCCTCCAAGGATTGCTGTTGTTGATATTGATGAGTTTGCCGGTGATGAACTATTCATTTTTACTATCGTTTTCACCTTTGCCTTTTTAAGGTGAAAAGAATTCAGAACAAAAAAATCTCACCTTTTCTTGAATATCAGCTTTTACATTCAGTTCTCAAACTCAAAACTTTGTTTCGATGCTTGGAAGGTTCTTCATTGATTTCATTCCTGTTCCGGTCTGTGGTTTCTAGAGTTTAAAATGGAAACAGATACGCTTCTTAATTTGGCGAAAAGACAAAAGCTTTACCAATTCCTACCAAAGTGTCTAAAATGGTAAATTGAATTTTCTTTCTTTTCTTTGGTTATGGGTTATGGGGCCACTGGGCCTTTGTAACTCTTAAGCCCAAAGCTCATTTCTTTGGGAATGAATCTTCTGCTAATTTTATTTCTTGGCCTGTGAACCGGGTTGCTCTTCTTTTCCTCCTCCAAGATCGCTCCAGTCTTACTGAGCAGTGTTGTGATTCAGTGATTGCTTTTGTTGGAACAAGAACTAAAAGAAACATAAGGTCAGCTCTCTCTTTTTCTCTCCTGAGTTTGATTTTGTGCTGAATAATCTGATTGTACGCTTTGCCTCAGCATGTTCTTGTTATGTAATTCAAATCTCTCTCAATCATTCTCTCT